TAAATGGCATTTAAGTATATAAAATAAATATCAAAAATATAAATCTTTGTTTTACTATGGTTGCAAATATCAAAAAATTTCTATATGTGACAAGGCACCAGAGTTAAGTTAGGGTTTTTCAAAATGCTGACACGCCGAGCTCAAAAGGTTTGCTATCACTGTATCTAAAGTATGCCACGCCAGTACGGGGTGAACCTGAGTGGGGCGGCTGAAAGGTTTAGAAAAGACAGACAAGAGAATGAAAGCTGGGTTTCAGTGGGACGCTGCTTCTCTGAGAGACAGCGACCACGCCCACAGCCATGCCTTTATTTTATAGCAGATGCTACGAGGCAAAGTAAGGGCGTGACCAAGATGTTTACAAACATTCTCCTGGGTTTCAATCCTACTCAACTACATGTACCTGAACTCTATCAAGCCCACATCACTCAGGCACGTGGGGCCACGTGTTCCGATCATAGGTTCACGCTCACAGCTACAGCTGTTGGCTATAATTGTGCTGGGAGAGCCCTGCCCTCCAAGCTGGGACTTGCACATGGTAATGAGAGGACTGTGCCCTCTCATCAGTCCAAGGCTTGAACCTGTCCAAAACACTGTACCAGCTCCCCACAATAAAGTTTTAATTCTGTTTCTTTATTACTAATGTTGTGGCCCCACCCCATAACAAAGAAACAAAGGAAAATTTCCCCATCAAATTTCTGAATAGTATTACTCCTTTGGGAATGCCATGTCATAAATTAAAATTGAAAGTGGGTGCAATCATCATGCTATTGAGAAATCTCAATAGTAAATGGGGTCTTTGTAATGGTATCAGATTTATTATCAAAAGATTATGACCTAACATTATTGAAGCTGAAGTATTAACAGGATCTGCAGAGGGAGAGGCTGTTCTGATTCCAAGAATTAATTTGTCTCCATCTGACACTCGCCTCCCATTTAAATTGATTCGACGACGGTTTTCTGTGATGCCAGCATTTGTGATGACTATTAATAAATCACAAGGACAAACTCTAGACAGAGTAGGCATGTTCCTACCTGAACCCGTTTTTGCACATGGTCAGTTATATGTTGCTTTTTCTCGAGTTTGAAGAGCATGTGATGTTACAGTTAAAGTCCTAAGTACTTCATCACAAGGGAAATTAGTCAAGCACTCTGAAAGTGTTTTCACTCTTAATGTGGTATACAGGGAGATATTAGAATAAGTTTAATCACTTTATCAGTCATTGTTTGCATCACTGTTGTTTTTATATCATGTTTTTGTTGTTTTCATATCATGTTTTTGTCGTTTTTATATCATGCCTCTGTTGTTGTTATATCCTTTTGTTACTGTTTATTTATTAATAAATTTATATATTATTTTCATATACATTTTACTAATTTCCTTTCATCTCTCACACTTCTATTATAGAGAAAGGGCAAATAGCAATATTAAAATATCTCTGCTAATTAATTCCCTTTTTTAAAAAAAATATATTTTATTGATTTTTTACAGAGAGGAAGGGAGAGGGATAGAGAGTTAGAAACATCGATGAGAGAGAAACATCGATCAGCTGCCTCCTGCACACTCCCCACTGGGGATGTGCCCGCAACCAAGATACATGCCCTTGACCAGAATCGAACCTGGGACCCTTGAGTCCGCAGGCCGATGCTCTATCCACTGAGCCAAACCGGTTAGGGCAATTAATTCCCTTTTAATGTGCACGAATTTTGTGCACCGGGCTACTAGTCTTACATATTGCTGAAAAATTTAAAGTCTGACAATACCAAATGAGGGTGAGGTTGGGAAATGGAGGAATTGGAACTGCTGGTGTAAGTGTAAATTAGTATAATCACTTTGAAAAAGTTTGATATTATCTAGTGATATTGAACATGCGCATGTTATTATCTAGGATTTCCTTTCCTACAAATATATGTGTATATATAAACAAACTTGTACACATTTATAAGAATATTAATGTTTATGACAGCATTGTTTTTAATAGTAAATATGGGATAAGCCCAATTGTCCATCAGCAGTAGAATGGATGAATAAATTCATGCAGTGGCATATTCTACTGTGTTGCAAATAAATGAAACAGCCACATATACCATCATGGATGAATATTAAAAACATATGTTGAGTTAAATAAATTAGACACAAAGAATACATAGTTTATTTCTATATAAGGTTCAAAAACCTGTATTTTCTAGTACACATATTCTCAGGGACATGATAGTGTTCTCTTTGGTGGCAAATACTGGTTCTTGGGGGTTGAAAAATGTTTGATATGATAATGGTTTGTGGCCTCCAAAAGCTTAATCTTACATAACAAAATTTTTACTTGCTATTTAATTTCTCCTTGAGTGTTCTTTAAGTATATCATAAGCACCATTGACACTGACGTTGAGTTTGTGGAAGATATACAAAGTGTATGCAAGGTCAGGGCTACAAAACTGGTGGATAGATGATGGGAGTACTTTCAAATGATTGTTTGATCTCAGAGACATCCACTATAGGTCGATTGCACATATGTGCCAGTTGGTTGCCATTGTGGATGTTGTTTAATTTTGATCCTTCATGCATTTGGGTGTGACTTTGGGTTTTAGAATTAAATAAGAATAGTCTGTTTTATTATTTAATTCATCAAAAGTTATTTAATCCATCAATTATACCATATACTGAAAAGGAAAAAATGTTGACAGTATCTTAATGAATATCTAGTAGCTAGTTAAAAGTTTCTTCTCTAAGTGAGCTTCAAAACCGAATTATCTACGCAGATATTCATAACAGAATTATTCATGACAAAAAAGTACAACTAAATGTCCCTCAACTAATGTATGGACAAACAAAATGTGGTATACATCCATATAGTGAATACTATTTAGTGATGAAATTAAAAACTACTGATACAAGCTATGACAGGTGAACCTTGAAAACATTGTTAAATTTAAAAAGCCACTTATGCCTGGCTGGTTTGTTTGGCTCAGTGCATAGAGTGTTGGCTTGCAGACTGAAGGGTTCCAGGTTCGATTCTGGTCAAGGGCACATGCCTGGGTTGTGGGCTCAATCCCTAGTGGAGGAGTGTGCAGGAGGCAGCCAATCAATGATTCTCTCTCATCATTGATGTTTCTATCTCTCTCTCCCTCTCCCTTCCTCTCTGAAATCAATAAAAATATATTTTTTAAAAAGCCACTTATGAAAGACCACAATTGTATGATTCCACTTACGTGAAATGTCCAGAACAGGCAAATCCACAGACACAGAAAACAAATTAATGGCTGCCTAGGTGGGGAGGCCTAATATCCAATTTCTTTGTGGGATATTGAAATAGCCAAAATTAATTTATAGTGATAGTTGCACAACTCTGTGAATATACTGAAAAATCTGTACTAAATTTTACAGTATGTGAAGTAGACCTCAATAAAGTTGTAAAAAAGTTTCTTCTCAGATAAGCAAAAGTTAAAATAATAAATATTATAGAAGTTTTTTATGTATTTTACTTTTGATGGAAAAATTAATTTAAGAATTGATTCCATTGCTATTATGTAAATGCTAATTTGCATATATAATTTGATACATCACAATTTATATAAGTAAATTACATTAAATAGCAATTACAGTTATAACATTAAGTGAAATACTAATAGCCTTTACATTTTTTTAACTTAAAATTTTTATTTAATTGTAACCATGCATTGAATAAAAAGTGGGCTTTATACACTTTTTATGTATAAAACCACAGCTACACATCCTATCTACTAAAGAGAGACTATGCTAATTGACCCTCATGCCGTCGCAAAGATGGTGGTGCCCACAGCCAATAAGGCGGGAATATGCTAATTGACTGCCCTGCCCTCAAAGATGGCAGCGCCCACAGCCAATAAGGAGGGAACATGCTAATTACTCCCTGCCCTCAAAGATGGTGGCGCCCATAGCCAGTAAGGAGGGAATATGCTAATTGACTCCATGCCCTCAAAAGGTGGGGGGCCCCCCCAGTCACAGGATGGCGGGTGCCCAGTCCCCCTCAGCCCCCCCCGGGGGCTGCCAGGTTCCCTGCAAGGCCCGGGGCCTGCCCCCCAGGCGGGCCCCGGCTTCTCCCGCATGCCTGCCTCCAGAAACCCTAGTCCCCTCAGTCCCCCAACTGCTCAGGGCCGGCCCAAGGCGCAGACAAGTCTTGGATGGTGGCTGCCCAGCTGACGCTTGAGGTACAAGCAAGACTCGGATGGCAGCTGCCCAGGCGCCCAGGGCCAGCCCGAGGTGCAGGCAAGCCTTGGGTGGCGACTGCCCAGCTGCCCAGGGCTGCCCGAGGCTCAGGTAACCAGGGCTGGCCAAGGCTTGCACTGCCGGCAGTGGCAGCAGCAGAGGTGTGATGGGGGCGTCGCCTTCCCCTGATCACTGCGTCAACTCCTGCCCCTGAGGACTCCCAGACTGTGAGAGGGGGCAGGCCGGGCTGAGAGACCCCCCCCTCCAGTGCATGAATTTTCATGCACAGGGCCTCTAGTACAGTATATAAACAGATAGATCATATATCTGTGATATTAAAATTTCATGGAGTGATTAGGAGAAAATTTCTACAAAGCCTCCCTCAGGTTGAAAATGAAAAAACAAAAAGTCAAGAAACAACTGGTCTAAAATACATAAAGGTGGTAAAACTATAAAGGAAAGCAGAGAGATGATTACCATAACATTTGGAATATTAACTCTAAGGATAGGATTGGTGTTAGATGCTTCTAGAGTTTTGATAGTGGTCTATTTCTTGACCTGGGGTGGTGAACTCAGTTATGCATTAGTCCGTATGTTTATGTTTTATATACTTTTCTGCATGGTGTTAAATTTCATGATTAAAAAAAGTAGTTTGTAGACTTTAAATATAGAAATGCAGAATATTGTTCAGATTTCTCACACACATGATCATAAACTAATCTCCAACTTAGTAAAATTTCTTTAAAAAGTGAGATGTTGACTGATGAAATGCTTTTACTGAACAAAAACAGAAATGCCATTTTTTTGTGTTTTTTTTCAGGTGGGCCCAGTTCTTCATCCATCCACTAATGATCAGAGATGCGATTGACCGTGAAGTTGAAGCTGTTGACAGTGGTGAGAGAAGTGCTTTATGTCTTACCACTTTTTCCTTTATAGAACCAGTTTTTTATTTAGCACATTTATCATTCTTTATCACTACTCTATTTTATTTTTATATAATAAGGGTTAAATTGAAATAGATGTGTCATGTTTATTCCTGAAGCCGTTAAATGTATAATTCAGTATGGATTTGAAGTAAAAGGATGGTAGATTTTTATTTTTTTCAGGCTTTTTAAAAATATATGTTTTTATTGATTTCAGAGAGAGGAAGGGAGAGGGAGAGAGAGATAGAAACACCAACTATGGGAGAGAATTATAACTGGCTGCTTCCCTCATGGCCCCTATGGGGATTGAGCCTGCAACCCCGGCATGTGCCCTGACTGGGAATCGAATTGTGATCTCCTGTTTCATAGTAGGGGCGCTCAACCACTGAGCCACACTGCCCAGGCTTTTTTATTAACACTTTCATCAGTAAAATCTTGGATATAGCATCCTGGAGTTTAAACCTTCACATCATTAATTACCTAGTTTTATTTGAAAATAAGGGAAAACCTCTAGAAAGGAGAACTGACTACCCAACGTTATAAATATGTTAAGTCATAGAGCCTAGCCTAGATTATTGATTTCTCCACTTCAGTTTTATGGCACATGATTAATTTTTGTTACTTCCTTACTTTCAGTTCTTTAAGCTTGAGTTTCCAGGTAATAACGTAGATACAGAATTTCATTTAATTAAAAGTGTTTCTTTAAAACTGACAGAATATCAGCTTGCAAGACCTTCTGATGCAAACAGAAAGGAAATGTTGTTTGGAAGCCTTGCTAGACCTGGACATCCTATGGGGAAATTTTTTTGGGGTAAGATACTTTATCTTGTTTCATATTTTCTAGTTAAGGAAGATTGAAGATATGAAAAGTTGATAAAGAATGGAAAATTATAAAAGTAGGGTAGCTAGGTAACTTTTACATTTTCAAATACAAAGTAGTATTGCCTATATTAGGTTCTCTAATATTGAATATATGAAGAATAGCACCTAACATTTTGTGAATGCTTTGTTGGTGTTAGATACTCTGCTGATACCATATAAATTATCTCATTTGATCATCAAAACAGTGTTATGAGCTGGTTACTATTGTCATCTCTAAAGATAAAGAAACACACTAAGAGGAGACAATTTGCTTAAATCACACACTGATGGGATTTGAACCTCAGTGTGTGTGTGTGTGTGTGTGTGTGTGTGTGTGTGTGTGTATGTATATGTGTATATATATATCTACACTAATAAAAGACAAACATGCAAATTGACCGTACCTTTGCTATGCCTTAAGCCACGCCCACCAGCCAATCAGAGTGACTATATGCAAATTAGCCCAACTAAGATGGCAGCCAGCACCCACAGAGCTGGAGTGAGCAGGAGGCTTGGTTGCCCAGTGATGGAGGAAGCCAAGCTTCCCGCCTGCCGCAGCCGGCTGTGAGCTCCACTGAAGGCAACAAAGTTTCAATTATAGAAGATAAATAAACCCCAGATACCTGCTTTCACCTGGCCGTGGCCATGGAGCTGGAGCAAGCAGGAGGCTTGGGTTGCCCCTGGTGATGGAGGAAGCCAAGCTTCCCACCCCGCCCTGGCCGTCTCTGAGCTCCACTCAAGGCTACAAAGTTTCAATTATAGAAGGTAAATAAATCCCAAAAGAAAAAAAGAAAAAAAGGAGAGGCTGGGAGCTTCCATCACTGGGGGGCTTGGCCAGCCTGAAAACGGCCCTCAGCCCCTCACCCAGACTGGCCAAGCACCCAAGTGGGGACCCCCCACCCTAAAAAGGGTGTGGCCAGACTGAAAACAGCTATCAGCCCCTCACCCAGGCTGGCCAGGCACCCCAGCGGGACCCCCATCCTGATCCGGGACACCTTTCAGGGCAAACCAGCTGGTCCCCACCCATGCACCAGGCCTCTATCCTATATAATAAAAGGGTAATATGCAAACTGACTCTAACAGCAGAACGACTGGGAATGACTGGTCACTATGACACACACTGACCACCAGGGGGCAGATGCTCAATGCAGAAGCTGCCCCCTGGTGGTCAGTGCGCTCTCACAGGGGGAGCTCTGCTCAGCCACAAGCCAGGCTGATGGCTGCCAGCACAGCGGTGGTGGCAGGAGCCTCTCCCGCCTCCTCAGCAGCACTAAGGATGTCCGACTGCAGCTTAGGTCTGCTCCCTGCTGGTAAGTGGACATCCCCCGAGGACTCCCGGGCGGCTGCCAGAGGGATGTCTGACTGCCAGATTGGGCCCGTTCCCCCAGGGAGCGGGCCTAAGCCAGCAGGTGGACATCCTCCGAGGGGACCCAGACTGCAAGAGGGCATAGGCCGGGCTGAGGGACCCCCCCGAGTGCACAAGTTTTTGTGCACCGGGCCTCTAGGGTGTGTGTGTGTGTGTGTGTGTGTGTGTGTGTGTGTAAAAGGCTAATATGCTAAGTGTCCAGCCATCTGACCAGTTGCTATGATGCACACTGACCACCAGGGGGCAGACAACACAGGAGCTGCACCCTGGAACCAGAGAAGGGGAGCCCGATTCCTTGCAGGGCCGTGTGATTACACCTTCGGCCGTGGGTTATGTTGTTGCTGGCGCACTGTCGGACCGAATCTGGTTTACTGCGCACTTGTGTTTGTGTTCCACACGTTGTATGACAGCAACTTAGCAGAGTGCTCTCTCGCACTCTGGGACCCCTTGGGGGATGTCAGAGAGCTGGTTTTGGTCCTATCCCCACAGGCCAGGCTGAGGGACCCCACCTGCCGAAGGGACCCCCTTAACTCTGCTGTGGCACTGCCCCAAGTGCCGGGGAGGGATTGCGGGATGTTGGCTCCAGGGCATGTCTGGCCCAGTCCCGCCCCGCCGGCCACCTTCTAATTTCCTTTCAATGTGCATGAGTCCATGCACTGGGTCACTAGTCTGATTATAAAATCTGTTCTCTTCCCCAACCTGACATTTCCGTTTATCAACAGAGATTCAGCAATTATTTCTCTAATAGTTTTTGAGCTGTGACCTAATTTTGTTTAACTGGTAAGCTGTTTAAATGGTATCTGTTTTTAATAATGCCATTTTCTTAGTTTTATATCAGTTACAGCCTCATATTAATCCTCTTGACCAAATCTGGGGTTTATAGATTGAAATGGTACTTCATTCAAAGGATGTTTTGCTTCTCTGTATATTTTGTACAGTTATAAACATTTTATATGGCATCCATGCTTTATGTGGTTTATTTCTAAGAATTATACAGAATATTATAAAAGTAATTCAGAGATAAAATCTGATTTGAATGGTAGACTAATTATTAAGAAAGGAAGTTTAAGGCAATTATTGTTGCTTAGGTTTTACCAACTAGAGATTATTAATATCTTATGTGTTAAAATATATCTCAGAATTGTTTCTTGGGAATTTTTGTCTTAGAGTGATATTATTACTATTATACACTGGTTCAATATTCTTGAGTCACTTAGGTTATTTCATTAATTATATATAGTAGCAGAGTATGCATTATTGGGATAGAGACTTTGAGCAAAATATACTTTATTTCTATAATATTTTTCATCTTTTTACAGGAAATGCTGAGACTCTCAAACATGAGCCAAAAAGGAATAATATTGATACATATACTAGACTGAGAGAATTCTGGATGCGTTACTACTCTTCTCATTACATGACATTAGTGGTTCAATCCAAAGGTAATATTACCTACTATGGCCCTTATGTTTACTCTGAAATAGTGGTTTTTTTGGATTTGTTTGCCTTGACTAGTGTTGCAGTGAGTGCACTGTTAATAACTTTAGTGCTTGATCCTAATTATGAACTAAAGGAAATCAGAATTTGGAGAGGTTACATAGCAAGTGGCTAAGAGTTCAGGAAGCACAAAATCATCTGATTATCAGCAAATGTTTTTTTCTCTTATAAACAGATCTTATTCTAAGCTAGTCTGTGAGTTATACTAATGTACTAATAGGTCATAAATTGTTTGTTTGTTTTTAAGTCACATTCAGCTACTGCCTCTGTTACCTCTCATTGTGAATTTAATCCATATTGATGATAAACTCTTATAGGGGAAGGTGTCTGCTTTTCATCCTTCTGTAGGGTCCAGTAAAATGGCATGATTAATTGAATTCCATTATGGTAATGCTGGTAGTATCTTAAATGTAAAATACTGATCAATTCCTCTACTCTTCCTTCTTTTATCATTATCTTCAGTAGCTTGTGTTAACTTTTTTTCATTAAAGAAATCATAGTAGTTCTCTTTACCTTTCAATCAGCTTTGGCTATTTTTCAAAGTTATCAGTTGCTAAACTATTCCTTTTGAAATACTGTATAGTTTACACATTTTTTACAAAAAAAAAGACACTGTTCCTCTCACCCTAATATTCTTATTTTTATAAAGTTTTGTTCTTTCATTATCAAAATTCAGGTCAGAGCTGACTTGGCATTTAAATGTAACACATTTTTGCATTTTGAATCAAAATTAGTCTATTAAAGTTGACATCAATGTAAAGTTATGGATATGTTCTAGTAGATTCTTTTGTTCAAACTGTAGGTGGGCATTTAGATTCATTTTACAACATTTGTTAAAATAGGCAATTTCATATTCAGTGTGTAATATTAATTTATAATACTTAGTTAATTATTATTTCCAAATCTGTCATGAACATGCATTTTTCTTCAACTAGGTATTGTTTCTTTTGCATTCTCTTCTCTTATGATGATAAGAGCATATTAATGATTATTGCAAATTTCTAAAATAAGCCCCAGATATTTGATGAGAGCCTTTTATAATTTAAACTCATTGATTTTGGGGCTTTAGCATTTATTATACCATTTAAGAGTTAAATATTTCTATAAATAGCGTAGAATAAATTCAGAACTTGATTAGTGTAATTTTCATCTTGTGTTTTATATCCTGGGGCATATCTTTTTGAGAATTAGTGAAACATGTCTGGTAGAACTAACAAATACTATCCAGTGATGGTAATGAGTCACTGAGATAAAGCTAAAAGGTTTCCTTTTTTATTTAGCTCTCCTGTTTTACTAGAATTTCTTATGAAATAATAAAGAATTAGAAAATAGAAATCATGTATATATGATTTGGCCATATATATGTGAAACTTAAGACTTGTGGATTAAAACCTAATCAAGTATAAATTAATGTAAAATAAATGCAGTATAAAAGTACTGATGAGCCCTAACCGGTTTGGCTCAGTGGATAGAGCGTCGGCCTGCGAACTGAAGGGTCCCAGGTTCGATTCTGGTCAAGGGCATGTACCTTGGTTGCGGGCACATCCCCGATAGGAGATGTGCAGGAGGCAGCTGATCGATGTTTCTCTCTCATCGATGTTTCTAACTCTCTATCCTTCTCCCTTCCTCTCTGTAAAAAATCAATAAAATATTTTGTAAAAAGTTATTAGAAATAGTAACATTTAAAAAAAAAAAGTACTGATGAGGTGCCAAGAAGAAGGGTTAGTGTAACGTGGGTTAATTGAGAGGAACCTTCCTTAGAGGATGGTTGGTATATTCTTAACTCTTGGCCCTTCATAGTAGCTTAATGATAAACAAAATATTGTTTTTTAAAACTGTGTGCTTCTTCTAACTTTACTAGGGAGGAATAAAGGAGTCTAACAAAATTATATGTTTCTTAAAGTTTTCTTAACTATTTTTATTTTTCCTGTTATTGCTGGTTATGAACTGGCAGGTAATGCCCAAATTATCCCTTTATGTATAGCTAAAGATCTGTGAAAAATTTAATTGCATTTTCCTGTCTTCTCCCCATTCTCCCTCCCAAGAAACACTGGATACTTTGGAAAAGTGGGTTACTGAAATCTTCTCTCAGATACCAAACAAGTAAGACATTTATTCTCATAAATCATATACCTTTATAGTTAAAGAGACCATATCTTTTTATATGAGTTCCAAAGGTTTTTTGTTTTTCTTTGTGTTGTTTTTTTTCTTTTTGTTTGTTTTTTAAAGAGGTCATTAAGAACTATAAGTGGTTTAGTAAGATTGCACAGCTTTTGAGTTGGAGTGGGAAAAATAAGATGAAAATCTAAATCTCCATAGTTTCTGTAGTTCATAATTTATAAACTTAAGGTAAGCAGTAATTCTGAAGAATTTAAATCTCTTTTTACATTTATTTAGAGCTTTTCTGTTATTGTGGAAAGTGTTATATGAAAGTGAGTATTTTATGAGAGGCAGGTTGAATATATATATTTGTATCCCCTGCCTCAGAACAAATTATCTTTTGAAAGTTTTTTTGTTTTGTTTATTAATCTTCATCTGAGGATATTTTTCCCATTGATTTTTTAGAGAAAGTGGAGGGGGGGGTGGAATTGATGTTAGAGAGACTCCTGCATGTGCCCCGACTAGGCCCAGAGATAGAACCTGCAACCCATGTGCATGCCCTTGACCCAGAATCAAACCCGTGACCCTTCAGTGCACAGTCTGACTCTAACCACTTAGCCCCACCGGCCAGGGCCTGAAAGTTGTTTTTTAAGTCAGTTGTTTGGAACTTGGAATGCTTTTCTCCATAAAAGAAATAATCTTGTAGATGATTGATTTTCCATCATACTTTCTGAAAAGTCGGTTTCATATAGTTGAACCAATTTTTTTAATTAGAAATTGTATGTAGGGTTCCAGTTCAGAAAGCTATTTTTTGTGCACCTAAATTCATCAAATAATAAAAACATTTGAAACTTTATTGTTACATTTTTGTGTTATAAGGAATACAAATAAAACTTTAATTCTGAAGCAATTAAGTCTTTCTTCCCACTCCTAACGGTTTGCATTTTTATAAAATAAATAACATCAGTTTTTTTCTTACATCGGGTGAATAAGCATGACTTTTTCCATTTCTTCATTTGAAGACATGATTTATTGTAAACTTACAAAAGAAAAATTTGCTTTAAAAATGTTAGAATAAGCCCTAACCGGTTTGGCTCAGTGGATAGAACGTCAGCCTTCAGACTCAAGGGTCCCAGGTTCGATTCCCAGTCAAGGGCATGTACCTTGGTTGCAGGCACATCCCCAGTGGGGAGTGTGCAGAAGGCAACTAGATCGATGTTTCTCTCTCATCGATGTTTCTAACTCTCTATCTCTCTCCCTTCCTCTCTGTAAAAAATCAATAAAATATATTTTTAAAAAAATGTTAGAATAATTTATAATAACAACTATTTGTTTTATTATTTTGGCTTTATGTTAATTTCCATTAGTAATTAGCGGTACTTTTTATGTACAGAAAGATAATGAAAGCCATGCCAAAGTTGCAAGTTTTTGTTTTGTTTGTTTTGATAAGAAAATCGCTGAGTTATGGAAATGTCAAGTGGCAGTTTGAAACATGTTTCACTGTGAAACTTTACTAATAAAAATCAGAGGTATAATTGAATTAGAGGTATTCATTAGATCCTATCAATTCCTGATAAGCATTTTGAAAAATTTTCTTAGTATTCACTAACTTTGGTTTCTTAATCATAAAGATTAAAATTTTTTCTAAATATTTGAAATTATTCATATTGACCATTATTAGTTACAATATCTTCAGCCAGATAGGAAGCTTCTAGAAGGGGAGTCAAGTCTTTTAAATACCAAAGTACCTAATATAGTGCTTTATACTTAGTCACGTCATTTATGTTTGTTGAATTTAAAAAATTATATCTAAGTTTTCTTTCTTAAACGGCTTTGTATAGGAGGATAACTGAAGTTGAATATGTCGAGAGAGGCAATAAATATTGGGAGGGGAGGTCCCTTTAATTTATTGTTTTATTGTGAGTTTTAAAGATATTTTCGTCATTTGGACAGAGGTTAAGAACAGGTTGTATAATTCAAGATTTGTGGCTTTATTGCCATCTATTCACTTAGGCTTAGAATGCTTTTCAGCCAGTAATATGTAGAATGGATTGTAAATAACTTATCAGTTAGGCATCCCTAAAGATACTGCTTATAAAGGCTTTTGCCAATTAAATTTTAATGCATTTGTTTTATTTTCAGTGGGTTACCCAAACCAAACTTTGGCCATTTAACGGATCCATTTGACACACCAGCATTTAACAAACTTTATAGAGGTTTGTGAATCAAGATTTTTGAAATAACTTTAGTACATTCTCTAAAACTTAATGGAGGCTGCCAATTTTCTTTGAAAATGAAAACACAACGGAAAGTACAGCTAGGTTGGAAAGGGAGTAGGTGGACAGTGGAGATCCAGTTAGCCACTAATGCACAGCAGATTGGTCTGCTGCTACTTAAATTGGTCTGTTTCATGCTTTCTCCCTTTTTCCCCTTGTTCCTTTATGTCCTTTGTTTGTTTCTTTCCTATTTCATTTTATCTATTTTCCGCTCTCTTTTTGCTTTTAAAAAGAAAGAAATAGAGGAGGGGAAAACATTTTGGAAATTATTTTCTTGTATCTTTATTATAAAAAACCATTTTTGTTAACTGAAGAAAAATTTGTAAATAGGAGGGAAAATCACCCCTAAATCTTACCATACAGACAAGTCATTTTGTCAAATTTCCTTTTGAGTTTCTCTAGGAGTATTTTCTTAATGTAGTTGAGATTGTAAAGTATATACACCTCTATTTCTTGCTTTTTCATTTAATATTACATTTGTAATAACTGGCCAATAAGCCATCACATATACTATAATTTACGTAGCAATTTGCCTTCTAACAAATATTGCAGAAACATTTAAAATTCACCATTTCTCTTTCTTTGCTCTTTTTATTATGGCAGGTTTTTTTCTTTCTCCTAGTTACCTAAACATTCCTCTCTCCTCTTTCACCCACTGCCAGTCTCTTCCCTCTTCCTTTCCTCTGATAACTGACTGTTTTGTCAGACCCTTTGTCTGCTGTTGGTGCCATATCTAAGCTGACTTATATTTGGTACTGTTCTTTCTGGCTTTAGATTTTCTCTTCATAGAATCATAAAATAATAGCACTGGAAAAAATTTTAGAGTTACTGCAGCCTAATCCCCTCACCTACCATAAAAAAAACAGATCCAAAAAGATTTAAATTCAAATGATTTTCTCGAGATTAAATAAACATGTATAACAAGATAGTGGTAGGGCTGGATTTCAACCATGGGTTTCCTGACTCCCTAGTCCTGTATCCTTTCTTGCAAAAAAGAATCCATCCTCAGGGGCATTTGATGTTTTGATCTTTTATCCATGCCTACTCTACCTGTGAAACCAAATTGAAAAGAAAGTTCCAAAAATTGCATTATTCAAATTGGAAAATTGGCAACTTGAAATAATAATTGTATTGTATTTAACCTTACCCTGTTTATTGGAGGATGAAATTTATTGAATTTAAAAAATTTTGTGTAACATAGTCAAAGTTATGGAGAAAGTCTTATATTTGTTCTTCAAATATTTTTTAGTTGTCCCAATTAGAAAAATTCATGCTCTGACCATCACGTGGGCACTTCCCCCTCAACAGCAACATTACAGGTAAGAGTCAAGAGAAAATTTACTCCCATTAATTACTGAGTGACAGTCATATTTTTTAAAGCATATTAAATGGTTTAACTTTGGGAATTCTGGATTTATAAACACTGGTAATGTGGTAAACTGAGACCTCACCACTAAATTTGTCAAGCCTTGCTATATATTTTAATGTCTTCTTGGGTATAAAAACTAGAATTATCTTGTAACTGGTTGCCTTTCCTGAGTCATTGAAATTAAGTAGCTTAGTGTGAATACTAACTTTTGTAATTATTTTCTTTAGTACTTTGAGTACAAAATATATTTGCTTTATGTATTTGCCAATTGGGACCATTTAGTTTGAACTTGTCAAAAATATAGTTAAATAATTTTGAGCCTAGAATATGACTACGGCATAAATATCAAGGACTTAGTCTAACTATGAGTTGGGAGTGAGTTGGGGCAGATTTATGTAAATTAGGAAAACATTTCAGCTTATTTATATAGTTAACTTATTTGAACAATATAGCATGGGTCAAGACATTCTTTAAAGATAAAGATCAGTCAATGCCTATAAATACTTTTCTAATTAGAAACAAATGCTAATAAACTGATAAAAATTTAACCTATTTTTAAAAACTATTACCAATAAAACAAAACTATGAGGACATGCCAATAAGCAGAAGGAAAGAAACTGATGTGCATTGCCTAAGTGCAGTAAAAATTGATTTTTTAAAAATGTATGTATTAGAACATTCAAAAGGATAATATACAAAAAATATACATTGATTGTATAGATATGTTAGTGACCCCAAAAGTGTTAATATTATTACATGCATATTTAAAAGTTTATTTGTTTTGAATTTTTACTATGAAAATAATGCATGCTTATAAAATATTAAAATAGGACAAAGGATATTAAATAAAAAGCAAAGCTCTGCTTTCTCCTTTTCTTGGTCTCTGTCCTCAAATATAGGCCCATTATCAATAGTTTTATATTGTTCAGACATTAAAATAATGAATATAAAACACTTCTTATTTCCTATTTTCTCTCTTTTTTTAAATCTTTATTGTTGAAAGTATTACAGATGTTCCCCCCCCCCCATTGTCCCCTTCTAGCTCATACCCATCCCCCGCCCAGGCCTTCACCACACTATTGTCTTTGTTAATGGGTTATGCATATATACATACATGTTCTTTGGTTAAATTCTTCCCACCCCCGGCCCCTGCCTTCCCTCTGAGATTTGACAGTCTGCTCCATGTTTCTATGTCTCTGAATCTATTTCATTCATCAGTTTATTTTGTTCTTTAGGTTCCACATATGAGTGAGATCACATTTTCTACTTTCTTATTTTTTTAAGAAATATTTTTATTGATTTCAGAGAAGAAGGGAGAGGGAGAAATAGAAACATCAATGATGAGAGAGAATCATTTATCGGCTGCCTCCTGCATGCCCCACACTGGGGATGAAGCCCACAACCTGGGCATATACACTGACGGGGAATTGGAACTGTGACCTTTGGGTGCATAGGTTGATGCTCAATGCTGAGCCACGCTGGCCAGGCACATTTTCTATTTTTTTGATTAACAAAACCTGTTCACCGTCTGACTGATTATTAAGGTGATTCATTGTAGAATTCTTGAAAAGTAGAAAAAAGTCATCCATGATTCTGTTTTCCAAAGACCATTAACATTGCAGTATGTTTCCTTCTAGTTTTTATTTTTTGAGTTATTTTGCATTTCTAACTACGTGAGTTCCCAGTAAATGAGCTTTTTTTGGGAGCCCCTTTTTTACAAAAGTCAAGTGTTTATCCCTCCAGAGTTACCAAATACAGTACAGTTAGCTTTGTTCAGATGTGAATGTGTAATCAGCTAGGTTCATTCTTTAACTGATTTGCTCCCCTCCATCAGTCTCACTATAGATATAGTTCAAATTCAGACTTTAAACAGTGTTGTGTTGGTTTTGGGGTTTGCTTAACATAGTTGAAATCATATTATATTTTGACTTTTAAAGTTTACTGAATATAATTCTATGAAGTAACTTTAAGATTTAAGAATGTTAAATTTCCTAACCCAGTATATTTTTCTGTATTTTGTTTTGGTAGAAATATATTTCTGAAATTATAGTAGAATCCAGTGGGAAAACACAATATGAATAACATAATATATAACTACTCAGATTATTAAAGAATATCCTATATAATAAAAGCCTAATATTACGAAGTGTCCTGTCGGCCGTTCAACCAATTAAAGCATAGTAATATGCTAATGTTATGCTAAGGTTGCTCAACTGCTCGCTATGATGTGCACTGACCACCAGGGGAGCAGGCGCTCCAACTGGTAGGTTAGCTTGCTGCTGGGGTCTGGCTGATCAGGACCGAGTGAGATGGGCTAGACATGCCCTGGAGCCCTCCTGCAACCCCTTCCCGGCTGGCCAACCTCCCGTGTCCCTCCCGGCCCCAATTGTGCATCAGTGGAGTCCCTTGGCCTGGCTTGTGCCCTCTCGCAATCCAGGACCCCTCGGGAGATGTCTGAGAGCCGGTTTCGGCCCGATACTGCAGGCCAGGCTGAGGGGACCCCACTGGGGCACGAGTTCGTGCAACGGGCCTCTAGTTATTATATAATAAAAGCATTTTCATGAAAACCCCATGAGAAAGTAGTTAGACAAATGAAGAGGAAAAGAAAAATATAGAGAGGCTAAGCTTCCTGCTCAAGAGCATTTACTTAAAGGAAAAACTAAAACTATAACTTGGGTTTTCTGACCCTTAAAGCAACACATTTCAGTTAACTGAAGAGCATGATGGAATACTGAAAGCTTTTACAGATGCAGAATGATTCATATTGCATTAGGTTCTAAAATGATAACAAATCTGTAATCCACTTTGAGTGAAACAAAAATGAAAGATTTTATTATGAAGAGAAATAAGTTTGGTGTCCAAGAGGAAAAGTAGTAGTCTTAAATTTTGTAATGATTATACTCATTCAGTGATTTCAGGTGAAGTTCAGTTTTACCATGTTTTATATTCTTATCCTGCTACTATCAAATTAATTATATTTTCATGTGTAGTGGAATTTATGTGAGAATAAATTTATAATCATATTCTCAAATATTGTAGTCTCAGAGTATGGTTTTCTGGTGTATTAATACCTTATTTTAAAAATTTTCTAACCTTAACATTTTTTTTTAAAGGGTAAAGCCACTTCATTATATTTCTTGGCTGGTTGGACATGAAGGCAAAGGCAGCATTCTTTCTTACCTTAGAAAAAAGCAAGTATTCAATTAATGGATTATAGCAATCTCTGAAAAATAGTAAACAATAAGTGTTAATATAACCCATTCTTTTCTCTTTTTGCTTTATCAGCCAGGAAGCCTAGAATCAAATCTAATGCTTAATTATAGTCACTTTAATAACTATTTTTTTATTTAGTTAAAATATGTTTTTATGGACTTATTAGAGAGGAAGGGAGAGGGAGAGAGAGAAAGAGAAACATTGATGTGAGAGAGTAAAATCGAGCAGTTGCCTCTCGCACGCACTCCAACTAGGGATTGAGCCTGCAATCTGGGTATGTGCCCTGACTGGGAATCGAACCAGTGACCTTTAGGTTCATGGACAACGCTCAACCAACTGAACCACACCATCCAGGGCTAACCTAGATTATTTTTATGGCTGTATTATATTTGTGTATTTCCTTGGAAGTCCCCTTTTAGTCCATGTTGGAAGTAGTTGTACACAAAAATTAAAAAATCATAAAGTAATAGATTACAGAATTGCATCAAAAGTTAGCTCTAACCAAGAATTTAGATTTGAAGGAAGTCAATTATTTAAATTTTGAGGATCGCTTCGCTGGTTTGGCTCAGCGGAAAGAGCATCGGCTTGTGGACCAAAGGGTCCTGGGTTCGAATCTGGTCAAGAGCACGAACCTTAGTTGCAGGCACCTCCCCAGCCCGGGCCCTAGTCGGGGCTTGTGCAGAAGGCAACCAATCGATGTGTTTCTCTCACATTGAGGTTTCTCTCTGTCTTTCCCTCTCTCTTCTACTCTCTAAAAATCAATGGAAAAATATCCTCGGGTGAGGATTAACAATGAATGAATGAATGCATGCATGCTGAGGATCTCTAAGCTTTCACAACCCAAAAGGTAGACTAATGAGAACTTCATTGGGCGATAAATCACAAAAGTATGTGGGACCGTGAACAGTATACTAGTATGCAGAATGTTTCCTAATGCATTTAGGCATGTGTTTAAATTGTCTAATAAAATAATAGAAATATTGCTTTAGCATCAGGACAAATACATTAAAGTAATTCCTTGTTTGACTTTTTTATACACTAATTCAAGAATGGAAAGGTACATGATAAATTTAAATAAGTACTTTAAAACATTAGTGTGTACTAGAACATTCAAAGAAAGCTGAGAGGGCAGGGTTATTATAAAATAATAGTGATATTAGGTACATATATGCCTTGCACAATAAATGTAAAATGCTTTGAAACGTGCATAACCTTTCTACCTTACTAATTTTATTAGAATTTCCCACTCTCTTCTGGCTTTCTCCCTCCTTACTTTAGAATCTTAATATTTTGCTTTATCTTCAACAAAAATTACTATTGCTTCATAAAACTGTTAATGTTTTACTATTTTGTAATATATATTATTGTTTCTATTAAACAAGGCTATCATTTCCTGTTGTGATTCCCGAATGTACTGCAATTCCTTGGGAGGTTTTGTGCTTTTAAAATTAGTGCTTTTAAACTTACTGTTGGAAAGCATGTTTGCATCAAAGGCTGAACTTCCCCAAATTTTACAAAGAAAGCTGACCTATTTTGTGAATTTGATGTATTTGCAGACTATCAGTCCCAATATATTGATTGGATTAATTTTTCCTGACTGTAGGTGCTGGGCTCTTGCACTCTTTGGTGGAAATGGTGAGACAGGATTTGAGCAAAATTCTACTTACTCAGTGTTCAGCATTTCTATTACATTGACTGATGAGGGTTATGAACATTTCTATGAGGTAAATAATTAAAATGGAGGGTTTTAAAAAAATATAGATATCACTTTATGCAAAAATATAATCAGATGTTTTGTTTTTAGGTGGCTCATACTGTTTTCCAGTATTTAAAAATGCTGCAGAAGTTAGGCCCAGAAAAAAGGTAATACATACTTATTAGAATTAGGCCAGGAGTTAATCCTAGTATGTTTTAGCCTTTAGGCTGCCGATAGACATGTTTTAGTCCTGCTTTGATCATTTTTCAGGCATTTCCTACTTAATTTCCTATATTGGCTCCATAGTCTTATTCTCTACATGTAAATGGCCAGTCTGCTTATTTTTATGCTTCTTTTTTCTTGTTGATGATTCTAATGAGAAATTTTAATATGTCTTATAAGTGTAATTTTTTTCCTTCATAGAATTTTTGAAGAGATTCAGAAAATTGAGGACAATGAGTTCCATTACCAAGAGCAGGTACTGGAAATCAAATTCTTTTTGAAAGTTTTCTATGGCCAAGTTGAAACTAGTGTGGATATTGTTCCTCTTTTTGGAAGTGTCACTGGAGTTCTAATTTTGCCTCTCTCTGTCATGTGAGTCTCAAGATGGCCTTGAGTCTATCTGAAAGTTAACTCTGTATTTTTGAGTATTTATACTGAGTAAGAGTGAAGGATTAGGCAGATTGACACAATTCATATTGTGTGGTAATCTATGTAGGCATCCATCTGTCTATCTCTTTGATAAACATTCATGGAGAGCTTGGTATCAGACTTAATATTTGGGGAATTCAAATATTGTAAAGACATTCTACAAGATAATGAATAGTAATAACCATATGTAATGTTAGAAACAGTGCACTCTAGGATTTCTGGGCAAGGAGAGCATTTGTCTTGATTGGAATATGACTAGGGAAGGTTTCATGGATATGATAAATTTGAATTGAGTTCAGGATTAAAAAATGCTTAAGGTTTGGCCCTGGTTGGGTAGCTCAGTTGGTTAGAGCGTCGTCCGATATGTGGGTTCGATCCTCGGTCAGTGCACATACAAGAAAGGATCAACCAATGAATGCATGAATGGGTAGAGCAGCGAATTGATGCTACTCTCTCTCTTGCCCTCCCTCCATCCCTCTCTCTCCCCCTCTCCGTCTTCCTTTCTCTTTCTAAAATCAATCAAATTTTTTTTTTAAATGGATAAGGTTTGGATGCATTCTAAGCAATAGGAAGCACATCAGTGGAGAACTCTGGGATAATGTGAAAAAGTGAATGATCCTATGTGTCTGTGGTACAGGGTATATGAAAGAAAGGTATTATGTAAGGCTGAAAGGTAAGGATTTTAGGGCAGGATTTTTTAAAAAAACCCTTTTGTACCTTGGATTCCCTTTACATCCCTCCTCAGAATAATAGTTATCCCTCCAACTTTTTAAACTCTCAGAAAAAGCAGCCCAGTGATCACTGGTATATCCCTTACCTGGCTTCACCAATTGCTAATATTTTACCATATTTTATTTTTTTCTCTTTCTCTCTCTCTTTATATATATATGTATGTGTGGGTATATGTGCGTTTTTTCCTCAAAACATTTGAGATTTAATTATAGATATCACTGTACTTTACCCCTACATTTTTTTAAATTAAATCTTTATTGTTCAGATTATTACAGTTGTTCCTCTTTTTCCCCCCATAGCTCCCCTCCACTCGGTTCCCACCCCACCCTCTGCCCTTGCCCCCACCCCACTGTCTTCATCCATAGATGTACGATTTTTGTCCAGTCTCTTCCCGCACCCACCACATTCCTTCCCCCCCCCCCCCCGAGAATAGTCAGTCCACTTCCTTTCTATGCCCCTGATTCTACTATATTCACCAGTTTATTCTGTTCATCAGATTATTTATTCACTTGATTTTTAGATTCACTTGTTGATAGATGTGTATTGTTGTTCATAATTTGTATCTTTACCTTTTTCTTCTTCTTCCTCTTCTTAAAGGATACCTTTCAGCATTTCATATAATACTGGTTTGGTGGTGATGAACTCCTTTAGCTTTTCCTTATCTGTGAAGCTCTTTATCTGACCTTCACTTCTGAATGATAGCTTTGCTGGATAAAGTAATCTTGGTTGTAGGTTCTTGGTATTCATCACTTTGAATATTTCTTGCCACTCCCTTCTGGCCTGCATAGTTTCTGTTGAGAAATCAGCTGACAGTCCTATGGGAACTCCCTTGTAGGTAACTGACTGTTTTTCTCTTGCTGCTTTAAAATTCTCTCTTTGTCTTTTGCTCTTGGCATTTTAATTATGATGTGTCTTGGTGTGGTCCTCTTTGGATTCCTTTTGTTTGGGGTTCTCTGTGCTTCCTGGACTTTTAGTCTATTTCTTTCACCAGGTAGGGGAAGTTTTCTGTCATTATTTCTTTAAATAGGTATTCAATATCTTGCTCTCTCTCTTCTTCTGGCACCCCCATAATTCGGATGTTGGTTCGCTTGAAATTGTCCCAGAGGCCCCTTACACTATCTTCATATTTTTGGATTCATTTTTCTTTTTGTTTTTCCGGTTGGGTGTTTTTTTGCTTCTTAGTATTTCAAATCTTTGACTTGATTCTTGCGATCCTCTAGTCTGCTGTTGGGTGTCTGTATAATATTCTTTATTTCAGTCAGTGTATGCTTAATTTCTAGTTGGTCCTTTTTCATAACCTCGAGGGTCTCACTAGATTTCTTGAGGGTCTCACTACATTTATCGGCGGTTTCTAGAAAATTTTTGAAAAACCTTATAAGTGTGGTTTTGAACTCTATATCCAGTAGTTTGCTCTCCTCCATTTCTGTCATTTGTGACCTGTTTCTTTGTCTCTGCATTTTTTTAAAAATATATTTTATTGATTTTTTACAGAGAGGAAGGGAGAGGGAGAGGAATAGAGAGTTAGAAACATCGATGAGAGAGAAACATCGATTCAGCTGCCTCTTGCACGCCCCCTACTGGGGATGTGCCCGCAACATGCCCTTGACCGGAATCGAACCTGGGACCCTTCAGTCCGCAGGCTGACACTCTATCTGCTGAGCCAGACCGGTTAGGGCAGTCTCCGCATTTTTTATGCTTCCCTGTGTTGATAGAGTGGCTTTCTGTGCTAGGTGTCCTATAGGGCCCAATGGCTCAGCCTCCCCAATTACCTGAGGTGGACACTCTTGGTGCACCCCTTTGTGGGCTTTGTGCACAGTCTTGTTGTAGTTAAGCCTTGATTGTTGTAGGTATCACTGGGAAGAATTGACCTCCAGGCCAATTGGCTGTGAGAATCAGCTGTGTCTGCAGTGGGAGAACTTCTGTGCTGAAGACACCCTTTTGGGGCAAGACTTGCTTCAGTGGGGCTTTGGTGCTCACTGAGTCTGCCCCCTGAGTGTGTCCCTTATGGATCCGAGGAGTTGTAATCTGGATGGTCCCACTCTGACCACTGGGTACACTGGCTCTTGGATCTCTAAGGAGGTGTTAATTTAGCCTCTGCCTGAGGCTACCCCTCAGGAGCTATGGAGATCTGCAGATTCCTCTTCTTTGTTTGGAGTTTGGAGGTGCCCAGATGAGGCCCAGCTGTGAAGCAGTACAAGCTGCTGTGGGGCCTTGGGCCTTCTTTTGGATGTTCTGGGTCTCTCTGACCCAGCTGCAGTTTGTTAGGTAATTTTCAGATTGCAAAGGGCCAGGCCTTTCATATGCAAATGCCTCTGCGCACAGCTTGGGTGGGGTGGGGTCTCAGGGAGTCAACAGGGTGGAACAAGCAGCTATGGCTGCTCCTCAGTCCTACCCTAAGAGGCCCCGCATCTCAGTGTCCTGGCAATCGCCGCAAGCACCTCTGAGAGAAAGCCGCCCTCGAGTTCTGACCGATGCCAGGAAGTCCAGTTTCTTCCCATATGAGTCTGGGTCCCCAGAGACTCGCCCGGAACTGGAGTTCAGAGCAGTCGGGACCTTGAGACTCCCTCCTGATTGAAAAAGACAACTGTGTCCTCAGTTTCCAGCCCTTTCCACGTGCTCCGTACCTCTGCACTTTACTTCCGCACCTCCTCTGAGTCTCAGTGTGCTTTTCTCTTTCCTTCTAGTTGTACAATTTCCACTCAGCCAGCCTTCCTGTGGTTCTGGATGATGTCCGTTTTGTCTTTTAGTTCTATTTTTGAAGTGGTTGTGTGAGGCAGCAATTTCCAGTGTTTACCTATGCCGCCATCTTGGTTTCTCCCTTTACCCCTACATTTTATTTTATTTATTTATTTATTTTTTAAATATTTTTTATTGATTTTTTACAGAAAGGAAGAGAGAGGGATAGAGAGTTAGAAACATCGATGAGAGAGAAACATTGACCAGCTGCCTCCTGCACATCTACTACTGGGGATGTGCCTGCAACCCAGGTATATGCCCTTGACCGGAATCGAACCTGGGACCTTTCAGTCCGCAGGCCAACGCTCTATCCACTGAGCCAAACCGGTTTTGGCACCCCTACATTTTAAAACATGCATCTACAAACAAATGTATTCTCTTACATAATGTGACCAAAATTGTCACACTTGGGCAATTTAACAATGAAATAATATTGGCTCAGTGGTTGAGCATCGGCGTATGAAACAGGAGGTCACGGTTTGATTTCTTGTCAGGGCACATGCGTGGGTTGCAGGCTCCATCCCTGTGGGGACATGCAGAGGCAGCCATTAATGATTCTCATCATTTATGTTTCTATCTCTCTCCCTTTCCCTTCCTCTCTGAAATCAATAAAAATATATTTTTAAAAAAAAGAAACAATACTGTTAATTACACAGTTCATGGAATAGTGTTTCTAGGTACATAAAGTAAAATACAGTAGTTTCCAAAGAAATATTGAAATAAAGTTCTTAAAATAGTAAAAAATGTATTTTTATTAATACAGTGAATAAGAAGGTTTAGGGCAGGTCTAATTACTATCGTTTTTAAGTAGCAGTGAGTGTGATATTTTAAAATATCTGCAACAATTATATTGTGATTTCTATTGGTTGTAATCCTAGATACTACTAACACTATTGTGGTTTGTTGCCATATTCATAATTGAATAAAAATTCTAAATTAAAGATTATTGAAAATCCTATGTAATAAAAGCCTGGCGAGACTCCCTTGTGTGATGTCACAAGATGGCCGCCACAAGATGGCCGGCCGGGGAGGGCAGTTGTGGGCGATCAGGCCGGCAGGGGAGGGCAATTGGGGGTGAACAGGCCATCAGGGGAGGGTAGTTGTGGGCAATCAGGCCAGCAGGGGAGGGCAGTTGGGGGTGAACAGACCAGCAGGGGAAGGCAGTTGGAGGCGACCAGGCCTGCAGGGAAGAGCAGTTAGGGGCGACCAGGCCAGCAGGGGAGGGCAGTTAGGGGCAATTGGGCCTGCAGGGGAGGGCAGTTGGGGGCAAGAACAGGTCAGCAGAGAAGGGCAGTTGGGGGCGATTGGGCTGGCAGGGGAGCAGTTAGGTGTCCATCAGGCTGGCAGGGGAGCAGTTAG